TGGCAGAAGATAGAGACTCAGAATGACATTTCAAAAATCACTTAACTGTAGCTCAGAATGTCGATTGAGTTTTGATAGATATATATCATTACCCTTATCATGATATCAATCGATGAATAATATATTGTTAGAGATGAGAACAGAATCATTTTTGAAAGAGAAGATGAAAAATCACGAAGAAAAGTTCTTAAGCTTTTTGGTTTCATTTTAGAGCGAAAATCTCAACGATTAGCTCATAGAGGAAAAAGAGCTTAATCCTTGAATGAAAATATGGATGGGAAAAGAAAATCCCTCCATCGAATTATCTCAAAATCGAAAAGTTATCTAATAGAACTTAATGATTTTCATCAATATCGATTGTCATAGTTAACTGAATAGCTTTTACTGTTAGCCTGGAATCTTTCATGTTACAACTAAACCGAAAAAAAAGAGATAAATTGTCAGGGTAATTGTAATTGTCGCTAATCAACAGGCTGATGGTATCGATAAAAAAACAACATTGTAAGATATTTATTTCTGACAATTAACTCTTAACATGATTCAATAAATTTCCATTGATTGATTTTGTTTCCTTTTTCTCTATCGGATATAATCATGATGATCACTCTAATGATGATGATGATGACGATGACCATTATCATCAGTGATGATTATGATTAATGAACTTTTGCTGAGTATATGTTGATACAATATCATGATAACTATTAATATAAAAAGGAGAAAGAGAAAAAAAATTTTATCAATACTTAAGGGATATGTGATATTATTAGTATTTGATGAGATTGTTTATTTTCATTATATAAGCATAAAGATATTGTAATGAGAAAAGGTTAAGGTTGATGGAAAGTTCTGAGACCTTAGAATTGATTGGTTGTCGTAATAACATTTAGATATAATAACTTGGTTTATAATTCAAAAAGATGACCAATATATTGATAGGATTCTTATCCAAAGTTATCTGGTCAGGTAGTTAAAGGAAACGAAAGAGAGAGAGAGAGAGAGAGAGAGAGAGAGAGAGATTTAATAGGAAGATGATGCAAACAACAACAAACATGAAGATCCAATTTCACGGTTGCTTCACTTTCCATGATACCTTCAGGTTTTTGGTTCATTTCCATGTCATAAACGTCCAGTATTTCATTTCTTCTGAATAGATGGAAAGAAAAGTTCCATTTGAAATAGGTTGTATCATCATGTAGACATCATGTAATTCGATACATGAGATGAGAGGTGAATCGGTGAATCTTTTTTAAAAAGATATTTAGATTTTCGTTTTGAAACTTTGAAAGTTCTGAGTGAATGACCGTTCAGTTTGAGAAGTAAACATATATTTTCCTGTCTCATTCTTTGCTTTCTATTGTTATATATTCTATCACGATTATGGTGATAGTGGGAGGTGATGATAGTTATAAGGAAAAGGGAGGGCGAATGAGAAAGAAAAAGAAAAAGACGGAAATGAATGAAAAAAAAAACGGATTCAGGTCAAAAGGAAGACAGAAAATTGGACAAGAAACATAATAACAATCAGCATCATCTCATGATGTTCATAATGATATTCAGGGTGAATTGTTGTTATCATAGAATCAAGATTGGTAAATGAGCAGATAGTAAACTGAATTCAACTATCATGTGTATGATAATCAGTGAAACTGAATCAAAAGTCATACAAATACATTTGATTCACATTTCAAGTTATTACAAAGATTCATTGTTATTATATTATTATCCAATCATATCATGAAATATTATCCATGATAATAGCCCTATTGATCTAATGGTTATTGTATATATGAATTTTTATCATTCCCACTTCACTTTCAATCCTATCTTTTTAATACCAACCTGATTCATGATGGAATTGAGTGAGAATTTATCAAAATATTCTGGATGAAACTTGTAAATTGTGAAATTTTTACATAACCTGACGGAAGTTGAATTGAAATTGAGATGAAGCGTAAAAATTTCATGTATATTCCGATAGTTTGCTCATTGGATACGATAAAACTAAAGAGAAAAAGTTCATTTCCTTTCTCTCATGATGATAATCTTTGATAATGAACTTTATTCAAAAGGAAATCACCAGTAATTGAACAGAGTATAAAAGGAAAGAGAAAACTTTTTTTCTGTTGAAATTTTAAGAATCTGAATGATGAGATAAAAATGAATCAATATCTTGTTGCAACTTTTTTTTCTCATGAACTTTTATAATAATATTGATCAGTTGCACTCTGATTAACATGATAGATGAACTTTAAGCTCAGTGTAATTTCATGTATGAAAATAACAACAAAAGGTAAATATATTTACTAGTAAATGATGAAAATAATAAAAGCTTAAAGTCAAAGGGAAACAAACAAATAAAACTCATAATTTATCATGAAACTGAATCAAGAATCTGAAACTGACATGAAAAAAAAGAAAGAGAGTAGAAGGAGAGAAAATCTGAAAACGGAATTGGAAAATATTATAATAAATAGATTACTGATAATATTATCATAAGAACATGAGAATATCTTGAGGAACAGAAAATAAAAAAAGTTCCAAACATAAAGCTACTCTGATTATAATAATAATCATCATGATGATCATGAGAATCATGAAAAATGGACTTGCAAACGATTCAATTTCTGTCTGAACTTTTTATCGATAACTTTCTGTGACTCAAAATAGTATTCAGGCAGGAAAGAGTTTTAAAATTTTCCGTTCAGAAAAAGTTCAGTTGATGTGATGATCATCATGAACGAAATACAAAGAAAATACTCTGGGGTTACTTTTCCCTCCCTGCTCCTCGTATCTCACTGTCATAAATATATGACTCTCACTCTAATTCTCAGTCTCTCTCTCTCACTCTCTCTTTCTCTCTCTATTTTTATGGTGGAGTTAATAAAGAATAGAATGAAAAAACTGAATTTCTATCTCATTCATTTCAAATAAACTCATTATCAGTATCTTTCTCATTCAGTATATTACCATCACCATGAAAATTATTGTTATCAACATTATGATAACCAAATTAACTTTAATGTAATATGATAATGTAACAATAATTTTATTATCATAATGATGATGATAATTACATTTGAAGTGATAAAAAAAAGTTCTGAATGGAAAATCAATTGGTTATTACATTTGACTCGAAACTTTGAGTGAAGAAGATCATGAATACAATCAGAACATTGATTTTTATCAAAAATGAAAAATTCTTTGAATTCATAAGATTAAAAATTGTCTTTCTTTATAAGAATACTAAATTTTTATGAATTTTGATCTAAAATCAATATAAAAGACTGAGTATAGATTAATGGAAGGAGATTCAGTAAGACAACTTGAAGTGAGCGAGTTTCAATATCGATGCTCAGATATGGTTCCATGAGTATTAACATGGTAATAATAACGTTCTGAACTCAGTTCTACCTTGTTAAGGTCTCTCTCTGTTTTTTTTTCTGTTTCATGTTCTATTCAGGGTTTCACGTTATTGTTTCATTGTTTCTCCATGATAATGACAACAATCATGATAACAATATTTATGAATAACATGTCAAAATAAACCTCTCATTTCCCCATGAAAACATGATGAGAAGAGAATGAAAAAAAGTTTAGATTAGAAAAAAAAAACAGAGAAAATTTGTCTTCTTTTTTCGCTGTCAGAACTTTCTGTCGAGTAAAATTTTGCCATGAAAAATGTTGATGAGCATGATGATGTTTTCTCGATGCATGAGAAAGAAAGAGAGAGAGAGAGAGAGAGAATTGGAAAAATAATAGAGGTAAAATTTCCCTTGAAGACAAAGTTACTCTAAGAAGATTCATTTCAATTCTGACATGATATTATTTCGTAGTCATGATATTCGTAATCGTATGTTATTCGCTCCCTGAACCTGCCAAAGTCTTAGAGGAATCAAATTTAATATAAAAGAAAGAATAAAGAAATAATTTCATTTTCTAAATTCAAAAATCAAATCAAAACATGTAACATACTTTGTGAGAGAAGCAAAATTTCAGAGTCATGATGATTATCATGATAATAATGATTAATATTTCAGTTCTGTATAAACTCGTCATGTCTGAAAATAATTGTTTACTTTTTCTGGTTAATTTTATTTCATTTGTCAATTGATGAAAAACTCACCTGAAAACTATTGGAATTGAACATTTTCCATTTGAATTGTGACATGATGATTGCTGATTGTTATTGATTTCCTCCCTTGGTTATCATTAAGGTATCAAAATAGTAATAATAATGATAAACATAAACACATCCCAGCTTATTGAGGAAGACAAAGTGGACATTCAACTAAAGTAACTGGACATTTAGTTACTGGTCATAACTTATCAGTTATATATATAATAAATGCTGTTTGGCCATTTGAAATTGAATTGAAGGGGATAAATCATGATGATAAATGTTTGAGTTCATAATCATCCATGATACATGGTTTGTTTCTCATGGAATCAATTTCAATTTCTTATTGATTGGAATCTTTTGATTTGCTCTATGCTGTTTATCTCATTCCCATTCTCATCCTCCTCCCATACAAGTGACCTTTAAATAATTCAATCATTACAACAATAACAACAACGATAATAACATTATCATCATCATCATTTGGATGACCACCACCACCATCATCATCATCATGTTAGCTAATATTGAAAATGTTTACTGGTTGAAAAATTTTCCTCCTGAAGATCATTTCATCTCCCTGGATTATGGTGAGTGAAAAAATCTGTAAAAACTTATACTAGCATTAGCATGTTGACCATTGAGTAGGATTTTTTTTTTCTCTTCATAGTCTAGATATACAGTCGTGAAAAATGAGTTTCGAATGGATTGAAAATCATTTGCGCAGGTAATGATTACAAACAATTGATTAATTTAATCAAATAATCAAAAAAGCGATAATTACTTAACCAAAGATAACAAAATGACTAAATGGAAGTCAAAGGTAAACAGTTACTCACCTTTGTTGTTGTGTTATTAGTTAATTAATTGATTATTTTAAATGCCTCGTCCAATTAGTCCAGAAATTAGAAGTCAAATTTTTGCTCTTCATAATCAAGGTTACAGTTACAACGAAATTTCAACTGAATTGGGTGTAAGCGCCTCGACAGCTTGGCGGTGGGTAAATTTGTGTCAACAACGTGGTGATTTAAACACGAGGTATTTAGGATCAACATCTAATTTAAGTGAAGCTGACAAGGAAAATCTACTATTAAAGTGGATCGAAGATCCGTTCAAACCATCGACCGTAATAAGAAAAGAGTTGGAATTGGACTGTACGAGTCAAACAATAAATAATTTCTTTCGATCCCAAGGGATTAAAACTCGCCATGCAGCAATTAAGCCTCGACTAAATGAGCAACAAAGAATGAATCGAGTCGTTTTCGCTACTTTGTATAAAGATTTAGATGTCAACAAATGTATCTTCATGGACGAGAGTTGCTTTTCATCCTCACGAGAGGGAATAAAAAATGTTAAGAGGACAATTGGTACTCGTTATGACCAACGGTTTACGAGTAAGTCTGATCATTGTACAAGGAAGGTCGTATCAACATGGGCAGCGATTACGGTTAACGGTGTTGGTCCACTAGTGACGCTTGATTGTAGACTTGATCAGTATGTTTACCTTGAGATTTTAGATACATTAATAGTAGATTTAGTTAAGTCTCAATTTGGACAATCTGAATGTTTTCTGATTGATGACAACTGTCCAGCTCATCGAGCTAATCTAATTAATGAATGGCTTAGTTGTTGCAATTATCTACACAACATCAACCTTAAGTTGATTAAATTACCTCCATATTCACCTGAATTAAATTTAATTGAAAATGTTTGGGGTTGTAACAAAAAAGATTTTCTTTATTCTGATTGTGTCCCTAATACTCGAGATGAGATGAAAGATTTCATTGTTAGCAATTGGAATAGCAAAAAGTTGATTCCTAATTATTGTGAAAATTTGTTTAACTCATGGACAAAAAGATGTGAAGACATCATTTACAATGATGGTTACGCAATTAAGTATTGATTAAAATTATCGCTTTTTTGATTATTTGATTAAATTAATCAATTGTTTGTAATCATTACCTGCGCAAATGATTTTCAATCCATTCGAAACTCATTTTCGACTAATATTGGTCATTCTTGACCAGCATAACATTTAACTGTCAATGATTTTTTCTTCCTATCAAATGTAACATGTTGTTGTTGTTGTTGTTGTTGTTATACTTTGAGTCAACTTTTAAATGCAAATATTTACATGGTATTATTATACATGGATAAATAGTCATCCTGGATTATTATCATCATCATGGTAAAGTGTCATCATAATGATAACAAGTGGACAAGGAAGACATAAAAGAAATTGAAAGTTTTCATCCAACTTTCTCTCTTTTTACTCATTTTATGTAAATGCAAGCTATGATGAATATTTTTCTCGAGTTCTTAAAGTTTAGAGTTCTGGGTGATCTATCTGCTATTTATGAATATCAATACTCTGAGGACTAAAATTTCCAGCTCTTTATCCTGTTTATGCAAGTTTGTATTTCAATTTTGAAAGTTCAAATTTAAAATCGTTCATTGTGACGAGAATACAAGAAATCAAAAATATCTGTTTTTTTCTCTCAGTACTAATACTTGGATTTTTATCATGAACCTTTTATTTCCTGAGTTTCAGGGCGAGTCGATTGATGAATAGACGACGGATGAGGAAGAAGCTTAGGAAGTTGAAATAAACTTTGAATTCTGATAAGTTCAATTCATAATCGCAAGGTTAAGCTAAAATATCTTCTCATGATATCGAGAATCAGTATATAAGGTTTCAGGGTTACTATGATGATTTATGAATTTATTGAGATAAAAGTTGAAGAATAAGAATTGAAAGACAAAAAAACGAAATGTTTTTCAATCGAATGAGATTTTTTTGCTCAGCAACATTATCTCTAGATTCAGTCATGATCTTTTATTTCATCTACATTCATCATTCTATGGTGAAAGATTGTGAAAATTGTTCTATTACCATGGTCAGCAGATTTTATCTCTCACCTGGGAAATGGTCAACACTTTGACTGGTCAGTTACTTAAGAAATAGATTGAATATCATTGAGCACTTGAACTAATTTATATATTTAGTGAATGTTGTAAGAAGATGGGAAAGATAAATTCCAAAGTGAACTGAGTACATGTAATGTAAACATTGAACATCAATTGATCAAGAGAGTGAGAATCATCAATTTTACGAAAAATTCAGGGAAAATAATTTTTTTCTCAATTGTATTTCATGAGCATCCAAGAACATTTGTAAATTATTGTAAGAATAAGATTCATTACCAATCCGATGATAATTATCTTGCCAGAGTCAGCAAAATTTCATGAATTATCTTCATCATGAAATTGAATTATCATGATCACGAAATAGTAAAGTTCAACTGGAAAATTATTTCCTCTCAAGTTTAAATCCAATTAAACTGATAACCCAATGTAATTGATTAGTTTTAACTGACCATTGATTCATGATGATAATTGAAAGTGACGATAAATTTTTGGAAACAATGAAAATAAATTATTTCCCACCAGAACTTTTTCTTCAATTTCGAGCAATCAATAAATTTCTATTTTTCCATCAACTTTTCATTGCTACTCCAAAAGGTTAAAACAGAATACAGGGCATTTCACCAAGAACCCAACAATTTTTTTTCTTTTTGAGTGTTCAGACCCCAGACTCGAGTTATGGTAGTTTAGCGATACTCAATTGTCATATTTAAATATCAAGGTCATTCTTGTTATTCTGTTAGGGTAGGTCATTTTCTTGTCACAACCAAATTCACTTGCAATAATGAGGCACTCAACGAGTTTACGATTTTTGGACATTTTAAGTTGCAGAGATATATCGTTTTTGATTCGGAATCCTTTTCATTCAAGTTTTAATTTACTATAAAATGACATTTTACATGGATCAGCTTTCTACATTTGTATTTGAATGGCATCTTATTGAATATTTTCCGGTCCTTAACCTCTTATTAGTCTAATTAGTTCAAGCTCGCCTTTAACCATTAATCATTAACCCAGATCTTACCAACGGTCGAATCAAACAACAAATCCTCATCTCTCAAAAAGTAGTGAAGTAAAATGGCGGATTGAGTTTGATCCAGCCTTAGACCAGTCATTTCCGATGAACTTTTAAATGACATTAAAACCTTAGCCTAACAGAATAACAAGAATGACCTTGATATTTCAATATGACAATTGAGTATCCCAAACTATCATAAATCGAGTCTAAGGTCTGAACACGTAAAAACAAAAAATTTATTCAAGAAAAACTTGTTGGAAAACTTGGTTAAATGCCTTGTAAATGTATGAGAATAAGATAGAAACAATGAGAATACATGATTCATTACATAATATCAATAGAATTGTAAAAGTTTGAAAATCAACGAAAAGCTTTTTCGTCTCATGAGTACATCTTCATGGCAATCGAAAGTTAATTACTACAAGGTGACCTTCCTTTATGCTCATTTGTACATTATCATTATATTAGATTGAGTTCAATTAGAATGAGGTGATAAATGAATTGATTTGTGATTTTCTACCCTCCAGATCCACCCAACTCCAAGGTTTTCATCTTGATTCTGGTTTAATGATATATTGTTGTTGTTGCTCATGATACAAGTTTAATAATATATATTGTTACCAAGTTAACATTCAATGATAACATATAATGTTTCCCATGAACAAATTGAATTGAGTAGATAATAGAATTGATGAGAAGATATTAGATAATATTAGAAGGTGGGATGATAATGATGATGAGGATGAGAAGAGCATCGAAGAAGAGAGAGAGAGAGAGGAGTTATAAAAGGAAATGTCAATTAATAGTGTATCAAATTTGTCGACCTGAGTAAGATGATGAAGATAGAAGATGAACTTGCAAAAGGTAAATCCCATGGGGAGAGACCTAAATGTGATAAAGAAACTGAAGTGACATTAGAAAAGAACAAAGTCAAAGAGATGACTAAGATAATGATAATGATGATGATGAAAGAGAGAAACAATGAACTTGAGAGAGAGAGAGAGAACGAGAGATAATATCGTATAAAAAACGAAATCAATCCAAAGTAGAATAAAAAATTCGAAAATGATTCTGCTTCTTTTGTTTTTTTTTCTTTCGCTCAAATTGATGATCTTTATGATGGAAGAATTAACAAAAGGATGGAGATAAATGAAGAAAAGAGGTGAATAAAAATTTATCTTTCGATATTTTCTCTCCAGTGAATTCGAAAAGTGGTAAAGTCGAAACTTAAATTGTGAACTTTGCAACATTTTTTTCCGGGTGAAAATGCTTTCAGATTCACTCAATATCAGAATTTGTATCGAAATTCATTATCATCAACTACAATAAACTCATTGAGATAAAATAATTGTCTCTGTTTTATTATCCGATAACCATCATGTTTTCATGATAATAAAATGAGGCTGAAAAATGAATTCCAATGTCTATCAAAATGATCAACTTTCACATGGAACTGTAAGAATATAATTGAATAACCTTTTCTAATATTTCCCTCTAAAATGTTTGATGATTTATGTTCATCAGCTGAACACATGGAACCATTATCATGTTAGTACAATGATTTAATTTGATTCCAATGATTAATCATCATTAAAACTTTCGGGTTGATGATTAATTTTCAATTGTTGTTTTCGTTGTTGAAAATCTTGAAATTTTCAAAGTAAATTTGAACTTTTCCATCCTTCTCCCCATGTTCACTCCATTAACTCATAGGAGAAAATATTGAGCCCCCTGAATCTGCTAACAAGAATCATAATGAGTGATAATAATAGTGATAAATATTTATTACGATCAAACATATGATAGAAAGTATTATTATCTTCATCATCATTATCCTCCTGATGATCATCAGGATTCCCTGTTAATGGGAATTCTGGTGAAACTTGCTGAGTAATATGATGAATATGAATTTTATTATTAATCTATTGTAATTTGTTGAATCTGAATTTTTTTTTTCTCTCAACGTTGAAATTTGAAGCAAAAGTTTCAGGGGAAAGTTCATTCCAATTTATATTCTCCCCAAGAAACATTCACATTATTCAAAATCGTAACATGGAAAATATTAAAATCCTCTTTGAATTTGGAATTGCAAATTTCCTTTTTCTTTTCTTAAATTCGTAGATGATTCAGATTAGAATTTTTGAATATTCTAAATTCTTTACGATTTTCTTTTTCCACATTGAGGTTTCCTTCTTATTCCAACCATAAGAAACTAATTCGAGATTCATTCGTTATCAGTTCGAGTATTGGAAAAAGTTCCTAAAGAGAAGAAAAACTCAGGCTAGAAAACAAATTTTTCCCTTCATAGAATAGAACTGGATTTTCTTTCTTTATCTGGAACAATCTTCATGATAATTAGGTTAATTAAGTGAAATTAAAGTAACCATCAATTTTGTGGTTTTCTGTTCAATTCCATGTTCATGATCATAAATCAGATAATCTGATGAGCTTGAATAGCATCAAAGTGAAACAATAGAAGCTCCGAAAGCTTTTGTTCAATCAAAACTGGGGATAAAAAAACTTTCTATCATGATATAATCATGAGAATCTATTAATAGCCATCATACTCATATTTCTGAATTCTATTCATTTGATAAAACCTATTATTCAGTTAATTTTATTACCTAGAATTTAAATTTCCATTGAAACTGTAGAGAAAAATTTTCAATTTCAAACCTTTTCATTAATTCCCTTGATCATCATGTTATTATCACCCTGATTGTATCGTCATCGCTATGAACATGATGTGAACAATAGAAATGCTCATTAGAACTTTAATTTGTAAAGAAATACTAGATTACCTTGCAAATCGATTACAATTAAAACTTAAACTAACCTAATTAAGCGGATTCACGATTAGCATCAGAACTTTTTTGTTTCAAAAATATTTTTCTCTATCTAGTACAATCAAAATTACCTTATATGTATTGTCTATGTCCAATTGTTTTATCCAATTTGCA